ACATGAACTCCGGGTATCTCCCTGTCAACTTTTCCTCCACACTATCCAATACAAAGAAGACTTGAGCGGAACGAGCCTGGTGCCTAATTTGGCAGCCTACCCCACATACGCCCTGGTAGGCACGCAAACTGTCTCCAAATTCCACGCAGCGGATGCAGCGTTGTTGCCTGTTCGGATATACCTAGTCAATGTTCGTCTCCAACAGACGGGCACAGACGTACTTCTGACGCTAAACCTGCCCGCCCTGGCGCAAGCACCTGCTGCTGCTTCTTTCAATGCGGCGATGTTTGTCAAGGTACGTTCAGCCACGCTATGTCGAACAAAAATCGCGTCAATATTTGTGATGTAACGATTAATTGAAAAGGAGCATTGAAACACTTTCGCGTGCAAACAAGCTAGAATTCGGGATTGCTGTCAAGAATATTAGGTGTCATATCATGCAGTTGTTATTACTTTCGTCACACTTATGACATCTCGATACACTATTCCACTCTCAACACATCAGGGAAACGTGTGCCCCGATTCAGGGATGGCAGCTTTACAGGAAGCGCTAGCAAGCCTTACCATTAGGAACTGGGGCTTATTCGGTTAAATACGTCATCAGTCAAGAAGATTTATGCTTGGATTTTGGTACCCAATACCAACTTGCTCTTTCTTCAGGCGGTGCAATTAGAATTAGAGAATCAGTACAGCATGAGTATACACACATCACAGCCAGACAAGACGGAGTCGGGTGGGCATTCAGTATACGTCTCTTAAAAGTCTCAAACAATGCATTAATTAAGTCGAGAGAAGCGTAAGGGAAAAGAAGAGCTAGTTGGGTGGAAGCTAGAGGTGCCGCATGCATCAAAGCAAACACCTGACTTATAGAAAAAACAAGTTATCAAATCTGATGTTTTCCCGCCGTAGTACACGCCATCATGATGGTGCCGCATTCCCACAGCCAAAATTATGTTCCCTGCTCCCTCCCCACATGCGCAACATTTCCATTAACGCTCAATCAAGGCGCTAGACATTAGTTTTCCAACTTCACTCTAGTCTGGCACTGAAATTCAGAGATTTCCTGACTGAAGGACGCCAAATTTTGATTTTTTTCGGCAGCAATTAGTAAAAAACCGTCGAGTGGCACACGCCCCGTCCCACTGCTCGTCCCACATTTCACACTACCGTGGCTGCTACTACTGCTACTGTAGACGTTGCCTGCTAGAAATCACTAGGTTCTGATCGAAAAAGGACTTGTCTCCCAGAAAATCCGCCGTACTCGTTGCGCTCGGTTTGGAAAGAGAGAGCATGGCCGAGATGACTGAACGAGTGTCACGCGCCATACCATGCTCGCCTGGAGCAGGAACCACGACCGGCCCATCATGACCTCCACGACTCTTTCCACGGCATTCCACACACAGAAGTCGTCCGAGCGTCAAGATGGATCCCGGTGTTGCTGGACATTTGATTGGTCAAGGCGCCGCCTTGGGTGTTATTCATGTCCTCTCTGGTAGGTGGATTGAGTACACGCATCAGCACCTATCACCAATACCACCACCAACAAATCCTCCCGAGCGACGCGTGGCACTCACCGGACGCCCTTGCCCTACCCTTTATTCAGGTCCGGACCACATCTCAGCGTTGGCCGCATTGACGGCAACTGTCCCGCCTTACAAAGCTTTCATGGCTGGTGTTCAGTGGGGTCTGGGCCACAGCACAGGCCTTATCATTGTAACTGGCATCTTCGTCAGTGTCGAACACGAGGTGATGGACAGAGTAGCAGGTTATTTCGAGTGGGTTGTTGGCTTTCTGATGATACTTCTGGGAGTATGGACCATGTGGAGAGCCTTCCATCCCCCCAAGGACTCCCTGGCCGCCTTAACACCGCGGGAGAAGGCGAGTTTCTCTGTTTCCCCCGTCCAGCGGCTGTCTGGTGAAGAAGACTCGAAAAAGACTTCGAAAAGT